TTTCTTCACATGATTACAATTTGGATGTCATCTTTGGTGAATTATCTCTGTGTCTTCTGCCTATTTTTAATCAGATTATTCATGTCTTATTATTATTGAGGTGCTTCCGTTTGCTATGGTTACAGGATTAACCCTCTATCCCCTATGTCATTCCCCCCACGCTACAATTTTTTTCCTAATTTCTGTGCTCTCTCCCTCCTCTTTGGATACCATCATTTTATGTCCATAAGTACTGTATTTTCAGGAGGGTTCAGACCTCTGTTTTATCTTCTCCAGTGTGGCTTTTTTTCATTACGTTTGGTAGTATGCTTATTGCTTGTATTCAGGCCCCTTGAGTTTGTCCCTATTTTCATTGATATTTTTAGTTCTAGAGTTAATATTTAAGTTTTCTATCCATTTTGAGTTCATTTTGTATATGATGTGAAGTATTAAGATGGAGCTCCAATTTTTCTGGCGCCATTTGTTTAAAATACTATCTCTTTCCCATTTAATGTGCTTTAATTCTTTATTAAAAAGTCAAGTGTCTCTAGGTGCTTGGGTTTAGTTCTAGCTTCGGTAGTCTCATTCATTGGTCTACATAGCTCTCATTTTACTACTGAAGCTGTTTTGATCATGATGATTGTTTAATAGGTTTTGAAATCAGGAAGTGAGGGGGCTCCTAATTTTGTTTTTGTTTTTTAGTAGTGTTTCTCTTAACTTAGGCTTCTTTCCTTTCCATATAAAATTGCTGCTGAGTTGTTCCTTTTCTTTGATGAATAGTGTTGGAATTTATATTGGAATTGTGTTATATTTATAGATTGCTTTTGGTAATATTGACGTTTTCACTATATTAAATCTTCCTATTCATGTACATGAAATATTTTTCCACTTGTATAAATATCTCTTGGGTTCTTGTAGTAGTCTTTTGTAGTTTTCTTTGAACAAGTCTCTTGTTTTTCTGGTGAGGTCTATTCCTAAGTATTTCATTTTTTAAGTGTTTCTTGTAAATACTATTTTTTAAAATTTCATGTTTAGAATTTTTCTTCTTTAATATGCAAGAATCCCTATTGAGTTTTGTATGTTGATCTTACAGCCTGCCAAGTTGCCAGATTTTTCAATTAGTTCCAGAAATTTACTTATCAGTCTTTGGGTGTTTCTATATATAGGTTCTTAACTGTTTGCAAACAGAGAGAGTGCTACTCCTTTACCAATCTGTATGTGTTTTGTTTCTTTTTGATACCTAATACCTCTCACTGAGAATTCCAGGACCATACTAAATTATAGTGGTCCAAATACCATAATTCAAATGCATAAATTATTTTGTGGTCTTTCTTATTCATTATCCAAGTTGTGCATGCGCATGAGGAGATTGAAGGGGAAAGGTTCTTCTTAGTCCTCAGAATGATATCTTATTTTTAAAATGTGACAGAGGTCTTGTGCAGCAGACTTGACCAAGGCAATACAATGGTACATTGTTTGATTTTTGACTGCTGATTCCCTGGGCATTGAGTATAGATTCAAATAAAATGAAAGACTTGACAACTTCAATATTGACGACTTCAATATGTGTGATATTTATCAATATGTTGCTCACTTATCCAATTGTAAGGATTTTTGTTTTCTTTTAAAAAAATCCTTTTATTAGGGGATCATGCAACTCTTATCACAATCCATAATACATCAATTGTGTAAAGCACATTTGTACACTCATTGCCCTCATCATTCTCAAAACATTTGCTCTCCACTTAAGCCTCTGGCATCAGCTCCTCATTTTTCCCCTCCTTCCCTGCTCCCCCCTCCCTCATGAACCCTTGATAATTTTATAAATTATTATTTTGTCATCTCTTGTACTATCTGACGTCTCCCTTCACCCGCTTTTCTGTTGGCCGTCCCCCAGGGAGGAGGTTATCTGTAGATCCTGAACTGAATTTTGTTTTCTTTATGTTGAAGTATAATCTATGCCATAGTTTATTTTCATTGCCAGTATAATTTCTGCCTTGAGTAATATGCTCATTTAAGGTCAATCTATATGGGATCAAATTGACAAAAGCAATTCAAACGATTAGAAGGGAGCCTTAAAGAGCAGGCTGCTCTCCATCAGCTACTCTCCAAGAGAAAGGTGAGGCTGTCTGCCTCCTTTAAGACTTACAACTGCCGAAACTCAGGAGCAGCTCTACTGTGGCACACAGGTTCGCTGTGATTCAGATTCAACTCAGTGGCAGGGAGCTGGGGTTGATTTCTATGCCTGCATGTCTCACAGTAGAAGTAGGCAAAGTCTATCTATGAAGGAGCACAGAGGTGATCGCATGGCTGTTAGCTGTAAGGTCAGCAGTTTGAACCCACTCGTTGCTCGTAGGGAGGCAGATGTAGCTGGCTACTAACGTAAAGATTTACAGCGATGGAAACCCTATAGGGCAGTTTGTTCTCTTCTGTCCAACAGGGTCCCTATTTGGTAGAATGAAGTTGAGCGTAATGGGTTGAGTTTGGGTTTATTGGTGGGGATGGGTGGATACACGATACCTTTCTTGTGTTATAAACATTTTAGGGTTTTTATTTCAACCAAGTATGTTGGTCATGAGTATGCTGGAATATTTATAGGCATTCTGCTACCTAGGGTGTTAGCTCTACTACATAGCTCAAACAAATATATTTTATTTCTATTATTCTTTTGTAGCCATTGCTCTGCCGATGCAGTATTGGAGAACTTCACTTAGCACAAGTAAATTCTTGTTGTATTGTCTAACGATGGAGGTCATAGGCCCAAAGTGAATATTTGCACATTTGATTAAAATAAGAAATCAGTTTATACTCATAATGTGGGTGAACAGAGACATACATAAGACATTAAAAATTTGGCTTTCTTTCGCATTGGCAATCTAAATAATTTTTAAGAGCAAGATAGTCAGAACTCACATTATGAAAATGAAAGGATTTCACTAGTTCTAAAATGCACTTTTTCCCTCACGTGATATTAGCTCTGAAAACAGGATGTGCTGATAATCTACGAGGTGTTACCTTTATGGCAGCAGCCTCCCCCTTTGTTTTCCCGCTTTGGAAAGTACACAAAGCAATCATGTGTTATTCATAAAAGAGTAGCAGGTTTGATGAAATAAAATATATTGCAGAAATGTCATCAGTGTTCCTTCTATGTGTATGTGTATAAATACAAGTGTGTATTTACATATTCGTGTATAAATACATACTGTATATGTATGAATCCATATATGTGTGTGCATATAGGTACACATATTTATACACACATATTCATGTATAAATACATACTGTATATGTATGAGTACATATGTGTGTGTGCATATAGGTACACATATTTATATACACATATGAATCATACATGGTCTCTGGCCAGGTGATCTGAGAACAGTGGAATCAATGGAAGCTCGTGATGATAAACACGCCTTAGGGACAAGAATCTGTCCTGTAAAATTGAGGGCTTCGAGGCATCCTCTTTGTATTGATCCGGCCTCACAGCGAAACTCGATGACTAGACAAGGAAAAAAACTGCCTTAGATAAAAGGTGACTTTGATTTTCTTTATTTATTTTAACTTTTACAGACTAGTGATGGTCTCCTCTCTTTCTTCCCCCATTTCTGCATACAAGAAACCGCCTGGACCGTCCTCCATCACAATGGCTCTGAGCTCACCCGAGTCAGAGGCACTCGGCCGGAGAGCTCCCACACTGGGCTTTTCCAGTATGCGGCCAGCCTGGAGCAGCTCCAGGCCACAATTAACCTGGCTGAGCACTGCGAGCAGGAGCTCGCCTACTACTGCAAGAGATCGAGGCTTGTAGATAAACAAGGTAAGGAAACTGAGGCACGTGCCACTTCCTTTGCCCCACTCCACCGGCTCCCATGGCTTCTGGTTCAGAAATAGTGCTGGTGCCCAGAAGGCCCGGGGCTGATGATCCCTGGACACCCCGCAAAATGGGTCTCGGTCCGAAAGTCACGGAGACGCTTTAGCCTGAAGAAAAGAGCGAGGTCAATGTCCATTGAACTCTGTTCAAAGCCGTGATTGCCTGCCCAGCCTGTCCCTGGCCTTAATCGGATAAGTGCACAATAAAGGGCTGCTTTCGGAGTCTTGAGGAATGCACCGTGCTCATCCCTGAGAAAGGGCAAGTGACACAGATTTGTTTTCTCATGGAAAGGAGCTAATAAAAACACAACTCTGTTCGGAAAGTGACTATCCCGTGTGATGCCTTTCCGAGGACTGCTGGCAGCCAGCCTCCGGGGGTAACTGAACATTAGACTAGGTGACCAGGGGGTAACTGAACATTAGACTAGGCGACCAGGAGCACCGTTCATCCAGCAGTGGGACCCAGGAAGCCTTCTCGGCTCTCGCCCGTCCTCCCATTGATTTCTCCAAAATTCTACTTTGGTGGTTCTTCCCCTGAAAACATCTCACCGTGTCACTGTTTGCTGGTCACCCTGGGTGCCCCCATGCCCATCTTCATGACCTCATTCTTGAAATGGTTTGCTGGAGCGTGCCAACGGGCCTGCCAGCTTGCCATGTCTCCCAAGGGCCTTGCCATTCACTATGCAACTCAGTATGTCTCTGCATATTTTATAAAGACAACGTCACTTACGCCATGACGCGTGCCCTTCTACAAGAGGGCTTCAAAAAGCCTGTGGGTTAATGTCCATGCTCTTTAAATTCTGTCTGTCCATCCACTCTGTGAAGCCACCTCACGTCTCAAAAAAGCTCTTAACACCTTTTGGGGAGGATGGGGCAGGGCTGGGCAGTGTTTCATGTCATTCTGCTGTCACCATGTCTTGTAACGGACTCCAGGTTCTGAACAACTACTGCAGCATGACGTTTCTGAGCGCCTGAGTGGTACAAACAGTTAATGTTCTTAGCTCGTCAATGGAAGGTTGTGTGTTAGTCTATGTGGACTAGAGGAACAAACCCATAGAAACTCATAGATGTATGAGAGAGAGTTTTATATAAAGGGTAATTGTACATTAAGAAAATATCCCAGCCCAGTCCAGATCAAGTCCATAAATCCAATATTAGCCCATATGTCTGATACCAATATATAAAGTCCTCTTCTGACTCATGAAACACATGCAGCGATGATGCCAAATGCAGGACGATCATAGGCCAGTGAGTAGAAAGTCTTTGGATCCAGTGGCATTGTAAGCATTTCAGTGCTGACAGGGGTCTCATGTGGCTCCTCCAATTCCCAGGGCTGCATCAGAGTAGGTCCATGTGGCTTCTCCCCAGGGATGTCTCACAGGAAGTGAGCAGCGAGAGAAGTGTCTCCTGCCTCCAAGGAGGAAATTCCGGAGTTCCCAGAATTCTCAGGAGAAAGCTATGCCCACACAGAGCCCTTATGTGCAGATTGACAGACTAGACTCCACCCCTTCACTCTTAATCCTCTCAAGTCCCAAATTGACACCAGATTATGTAACTACCACAGGTGGGAAGTTCAAGGATACCCAGAGACACTTTGGAAGAGAAATCTGGCAACTTACTTCCAAAAAGTCAGCCGTTGAAATCTTTATGGAGCACAGTTCTTCTTTTTAATCACTTTATTGGGGCTCTTACAACTCTTATCACAATCCATCCATACATACACTGTGTCAAGCACATTTGTACCTCTGTTGCCATCATCATTTTCAAAACATTTTCTTTCTACTTAAGCCCTTGGTATCAGCTCCTCATTTCCCCCCCTCCCTCATCCCCCCTCCCATCCTCATGAACCCTTGATAAATTATACATTTTTTTTCATGTCTTAAACCCACTTTTCTATTGTTCATTCCCCCTTGGGGGAGCAGGGGTTAAATGTCGATCATTGTGATCGGTTCCCGTTTCAACCCCCACTGTCCCCCTTCCCTCCCGGTATCACTACTGTCATTGTTGGTCCTGAGGGGTTTATCTGTCCTGGATTCCCTGTGTTGCGAGCTTTTATCTGTACCCGTGTACATGCTCTGGCCTAGCCAGGTTTGTTAGGTACAATTGGGGTCATGATAGTGGGGGGAGGAAGCATTCAAGAACTAGAGGAAAGGTGTGTGTTTCCTCGGTGCTATACTGCACCCTGATTGGCTCATCTCTTCCTTGTGACCCTGCTGTGAGGGGATGTGTGGAGCACAGTTGTGTTTTGACACAGTGGGGATTGCCTTGACTTGACTCAACTCCACAATTGGTTTTAGTGTCTTTCTATTTCATACCTAAGGGTCCCTGGTGATGTAGGGCCTACATGTTGGGCTGCCAACCACAAGGACGGCAGTTCAAACCCACCAGCTGCTCCACAGAAGATAGTTAGGCTTGCTGCCCTCATAGGACTTCCAGCTTTGGACACTCACAGTGGCAGTTCCACTCGGCTCTGTAAGTCTAGATCCATGTGAGTCAGAGTTGACTCCGTGGCGCGGAGTTTAGGTTTTCCGGGTTTTATTGTCCGTATTCCCAACACAGACGCCTTTGTTTGGGAGTCAGAATGGGGCGTTCTGGATCTGCCGTGCTTGTTCAGTCTTCACGGGTCTCGCCAGCACACTGTTTTTTTGGCAACTGTACTTTGGGGGACTTCAGTATCCAACATATCTGGCAGCGTCTCCCAATGTTTTGAAGCGATTTCCAGTGGTTGATTCCTCCAAAGCGGGGAACTGAGTCCTTCTTCCTGGCGCTGGTGAAGAATATTGACAGTACCATGGGCTACCAAAACAACCAACAGATCTGTCTGGGAAAAACCGCCAGGGTGCTCTTTGGAAGCCAGGGTAGCAAGACTTCATCTTACATACTCCGAGCATGTTGTCAGGAGAGAAACGTCCCCGGAGAAGGGCATCCTACCTTGTAAAGGAGAGGGGCATCCACCAAGAGGCAGGCCCCGAAGGAGATGGTTTGACATAGTGGCTGCAGCCAGGCGCTCCAGCACAGGGACGATGGTGAGGCTGGTGCAGGACAGGACAGTGTTTCATTCTGTTGTGCACAGGGTCACCACGGGTGGCAATTGCCTTGATGGCACCTGACCACAACATTGAAGGGCACTGTGTTTCTTCAGGTACAAATTAGAGAACATCTTAAGTTACCTGCACAATAAAGTAACAAACCAAACCTATCGCTATGAAGCCAACGCTGGCGCATGGCCACATGGCAACTCCGTGTGCTGTCGAGTGGAGCAGCCTGTTGGATGCTCTTGGATGTCATTTTTACGGAAACGGCTTGCCCGGCCTTTCTTCCGTGGAGCTGCTACATAGACTTAAACCATCAGCCTTTAGGTGCTCAGCCAATTCCAAATTGCTTGTGTCTTCAGGGACCAACGGGGGTTTTAAAAGCACTTGATGTAAGTTCATTCGCTGGTAACCTTCAGAGGTTTGGAATTACAGACACAAGGACAACAATTTTACAAAGCATTGTATTTCCCATGTGACTATCTTTTGTCATCTGAATCATCCTTCAGTTTGGGAACTGTGGGACTGACTTTTGTACCATTGTTTCCAATCAAGGATCTCTTCCATTTATTATGCCCCTACTGAATACAACCCGATGATTTCTTAACTGTCTCCTCTCCTTCCTGCTTGTCCTCTATTCTCATCCTTTCTCTTCTCAATACTTCCTCCTTCCTTTTTTTTCCAGAATATCCAAATTTCCATCTCTTAGGCTTTCAGACCTTTTCCATTTTGTTGATCCCCTTTCAAAGCCCATCTCCTCAGTTCTTCAATCCCATATGTGATTGACGATCAAAAAGTTATGATAAAATGACATAGGATTCAGAGGGTAGAGGCAACTAAAGTTTATGATCCTGGGCTCTCACTTACTAGAGAGAGGAACAGACAGCTCGCGCTTGCTAGAAACTTGGATGCATCACTGGCTTTGATCTTGTTTCCTCTTTTGTGAAATGGGACAGTAACACCAGTGGCGATTAAGTGGCATGACCCACAAACACACGCAGCATGTGAGATGAGCCCCTGGTTCCCCAAGGCATCATGTTTATACTTAGCCTGCCCAGTTCAATGCACACTTGATTGTGCAGTGTAGCTCAACATTGACCCTGAACTCTACAATAAAATATGCAACGCTGGAATGTCCGATACTTATGGACAATAAATGTAGGAGCATTTAAGAATAATGGAGCAAAACAGCTGAGATGTTTAAGCAGAGAAGGCAAAGGAAAGAAAGACAATTAGTAAGTCTCACGTGAGCCAGATTCTCATAGAACCAACGCACGAAAGCCCCCGGTGGTTAGTGGGCAAGCACCACACGACGAAGTGAAGGGCAGCAACACAGGTGTGCAGTGTGGAGCAGTTGCCGCCTCCAAGGTCTTACGGGCTCCCGAAGTGTTTCTGCATGGTTGGAGCATGATGGCAGGTGGTAAGCTTTAAAATCGTAGTTCTCAACCTTCCTAATGCCGGGATCCTTTCATACAGTTCCTCATATGGTGGTGACCCCCC